ATGGGACCATAGGGTTTCACTATTTTTAACACATTAGAGCCGGACGACCGTGTTAAGATTTTCTAAATAATGATATTATAGATGATTTCCCCTAGGAGTAGGGAAATCTTATGATAACCAGAATAGTTCTTGATAATTGAATGCTTAACCTCATAACTAATTTGAATGGACATTGAAATTAGGGTAGAAGGTTAAAGGTTTTTCACTAAGGACTTAGGGAAAGATAATCTTAAGAATCGGTAATTGTGGTTGATGAACTTGTTGAAAAGATCAAAGAGTGAAGGCTATTTCATGGAAAATCATACATTCCCCCTAGCATATTTTAACTAAAAAGTCAAAAGTCATATTTTACTTTCTATTCTTTTACATATGTGCAAGGATTTATCCAACCAAACCAAATGATAGTTTTTGTTCAATTAATTAATAATCACACTCAATATTTGCTACACGGTCCTCGTGATCGATACTTGGGGTAAAACCCATTATTACTACATCGGTAAAAATAGTACACTTGTTATTTTTTTGATCAGCACTCTTTAATGGTTTCCAATTAGAACCTGCATTATTCCTTTTTATTTTGACAAATATTACAAGAGTTCATACAATCACTAGTACACAATAATGCTGGAGAAAATAAATATTCTTTCTAGATCTTGACTTGTTAACATCTTAATGCCAAACTCTTCTGCGTAATCTTTGCTCGATTAACACTTCCCGAATCTTCCAATATCGCCAATATGCTTCAAGCTTTCGGTGTAGAAATGACCTATTGATCCTATCGATTCCTCGAGCAATAAATTGTTTGAATATTTGAGAAGAACTTCGACTTGTTCGTAGCCTTCCACACAGTCACAACCAAGGAAATTCGGAGAGAAGAACCTTCTTCTTTTCACTGGAATTTGTCAGCACCAATGACAATAACCTCAATCTTGCAAGAACCTGAATATATTAACCCAATATTCAAGAACGATTAGTTTCAAGACAATATCTCCCTCATTCAATTTCAAATATCTTGTTATCAAGATCAAAAATCAAAACAAAGGTTGAAGAAGAAAGAAATTTGATTGCAAGGGTTTTGAATATTTCAAAAGTGAAAGGTAGTTGATTTCACAGAAAATAAAAAATGATTATGAAATTCGTTACTTGAAAATTGATGACAAAAAGATTTGATATGTGCTTGAGATTAAGCACAACAATGAGTGAAAAAGTTTGTTAGATTCAAATTAAGAACATTTCATGGTTTGAGTCATATGAGTAAGTGAAGTGGAATAAGAAGGAAAATGATTTTTGACCCATTTTTAATTTAATTTGAATCGATAACAAAGTATGATTCGAATCAAAGGCCATGTGATTCGAATTGAGTGCAAATTCTGATTCGAATCAACTACAACAGAGCCAGATGGAAAATGCAGAAAAACTGTCTGATTCAAATCAGTTGTAAAGTATGATTCAAATCAAATAAAGCAGAGGTGACCAAAAGGAGCTTCATTTGAATCAAGTGTAAATTCTGATTTGAATCAAAGTGTTAGAAAATCCCTGGTTTTCCTTTGTCCAATTTGATTTAAATCAAAATGTGTGCTTGATTTACTTGATTCGAATCAAACATGCAAAATCTCAATTTTTCATAGTTTTCAAAATACTTTGAGATTTTTCTTTGCACCTAACTTGAATAAAAAACACATACGGTTCTTATTCCACTAACTCATGCAATTGACTAAAATCATCATGAGCAAGTTTAAATATAACCATTGATTTATGCATGCTAAAACGAATAACAAATCGATTCGAACTAGATTAAGAGATGTGCAATCATGAAGGATACTCAATAAACGATAATAAACGAAATTGAAAAGACAAGCAACAAAATAACCGTATTAGGGGTGCTCCCCTTGAATGTGTTAGGGACATGCTACAATCTCCCCATAGGGATATGCATCTTCACTCATGACCATCTAAATTTATAGCTAGTTCATAATTGTGAAATCGACACCTAATCGCCACCTTCCAACCAGTACCAATTGACACAAATCTCAGCATAAATGGAATTTAACTTCCATACTAAAAGTGCCTTGAGAGGAATTCTTCTTCTTGTAGCTTACTTATCTCTCATAACCCATAATCAATTTATCTTTCTTTCCTCTATTCTCATTTGCATTATTAGAATAAATATAACAACAATAACAACATGTTGTTTCTCAATGGACTGTGCCCATGCTAACACATCAGGCCATAAGGGAAATATCTATCATTTAGAACATATAATGAATGAATTATTTATGCCAGAGATACCCAAAACCTATTAAATTTTACACAAGTTAAAAATAAAACATGCAAGTAAAACATATAGCGTCAGTGATGAAGAACTACGTAAAATTTATAGAGGAATCATCAATCTCAAGAGCGCACAAAGAAAGCATCTTGAATTGAACTACTAGGTTTTTCACACTGAACTAAAAGTCTAAAAATTTCCTACTTCTTTTAGGATATTTGAGAATTTTGCTGCTTATTGGATTTTTTAGAAAATTCGATAAAAAATATCAGAATTTTCAACAAATATGTATAAATACACCAGATTTTTAAAAACATCGTTAAAAATGCATATTGAATTTTTAAATATGCGATAAAAATGCAAAGTTTTAACCAATTCAAAAAAAAATTATACCAGATTTTTTTCTACCACTTTCGGATATTTTGAAAGTTACAACTTTAATTAATAATTATTTTGATCAATTATAATCTCGGGATGAATAAATAATGAGAAGAACATTTTGGTCAATATGAAAATTAAAGGGGTGGTCAGACAAAATCCCCTTGTCATCTAGCCACATGGATGTATAATTATTCTAAAATTAAGTATTAAAATATTGGTAGAATTGATTTTAAAAGATATGAGTTTAACATAATTGATTTATGTTTAGATATGTTTATGTAAAAGTGAGTTGAACAATAAATTTTAGTGTAAAAATCATATTTAAACTCAAGAGGTATAAATTCTAATTTTAGTAGAATCAATTCTGAAAACATGATCAATTTTACTTTAGAAGAACCAAACACCTCACAATCAATTCATCATCAATTCTAAATTTCTAGAATTACTTTTAACCCTTTCAAAAGCCAAACTAAATATACATTAAATTATTGATCTATAATTAAGTTATTGACGATAATATTTATATATTAATATAAAAATATTAATATTTATAAATCAATAACTTAAAATAATAAATATTATTATAAAAATTATAAAAATAAATAAAAATATAAAAATTACATTTTACTAAATATTAATCATTCCGTATCACTCTATTGTATTTTATTAAATATTAATCATTCCACGTCACTCTATTGTATTTGATATTATCTAAAATATATGATTTTTTTATGCAAACATCTAGAAAAAATTATTGTATTTCATATTACCTAAAATATATCATATTATTGTTTTTTTTACAAATCATATTATTATTTTTATTATCTAGAAGAAAAAAATATTAGATTTGATATTATTTAAAAATATCATTTTTTTATCCAAACATCTAGAAGAAAAAAACAAACTATTGTATACTTCGTATTTTTATTTTTATCTAAATATCTAGAAAAAAATAAAAACTAATAAATTTAGAGAATCTAGCAAAATATATATACAGAGATAAATATAAATTTTATTTAAATATATATATAAATTTGAAATAAATTATTTAATTGTAAAATAAATAATAATAATATAAATTTTATAATAATTAATGACAATTAGGTATAATCACGTGAAATCATAGTGAAAAATTTAAATTTTACACTATGAATATATCTCTATTAAATCTTAAATTTAAAATTGAAATACCATATTTAGAAATTAAAAGAAAAAAACTGAAAGTGAATTAAGGCAGAAAGCAAGGATCTTGACATAAAGTTACATATTTTAATGAAGTGAGACAGTCTAGCACAAACATGGCAACTCTTTTGAAAATCCAACCAATTTTTTTCAATCCATTTTGTCTCTCTCAAACTAACAAACATCTTGTCCGCGTCCATATATTTTTTCAATAAATAAATATTAATTAATTAAACTATTCCATATATTTTGATGTTTGGAATTTGTTTTATTCTTCAAATTAAAATAATAAGTCAAATATTTTATTTCAATTTCAATTTATTTTTAAGAATCATTTCTCTCTCTCTCTCTCTCTCTCTCTCTCCCATTTTTCCATTCTCTCTCCTCTCTCTTATCTTTCTCTTTCAGATTTCAATCTTCTCTCTCCAGAAAGGGGCAAAACCTAAAGACCGTTTGCACCCACCAAGTAAGTTTTCTCTCTCCTCTCTCTCCTTCTCTCTCTCCTTTTCTCTCTCTCTCTCTCTCTCTCCCTCCTTTAAAATTTGAATTGATGGGTCCTTTTTTCTCCTTTTGAACCTCCTTAAAAATATCTTTTTTTCTGTAGATTTGTATCTATTCACCATTATAACCTAGATCTATTCTCAGATTTTATAACCCTAAATGAATTTTTCGGATCTATACGCGATTCCTTCCTTTTATATCTATTCTTCTGTTTCGTTTTCCGGAAAATGTAGGGTTTATAACCACATTCAGATCCAGGGTTTTCCGTTTTTTAATTTTACTCGGAAATGGTACTTTTCCACTCTTCCGAGCTCGATCTATGAATTTTACATTGATAAATTGATAAATAATAATCATGCTAATTTAAATTTTGAATTTTTATTTAATTTGTGCTTGTGTTTTTATGTTTTTTCTCATTTTTCAATCTAATTGTATGGTTTATGTGCTGTTTATTTGATGGGGTTTGCTGAATAGTGTTTTGTTCAGTTAAGATTTTAGCAATTGGAATTGAATGAAGAAGAAAAAACGAGTTGTTTTGATTGAATTTTTATATGATTATCTGTTTTGTTTTGTGTTGTTTGTAGTTGTCATGGATGATGATGTGTTGAATATGCCCAATTGGGGGTTACTATGAGCCTTCAAGGGTGGGAATCTGGGTCTGAACCTGATGCCTGATATTAATGATCGTGAAACGAAGCCGTTTTTTCCTGGTCGTGATCCGGCTATGTTAGTAGGTGCGAATGGAGGTTTTCATCCTCGTGATGGTGCTGTTGTTGAGCCGCCTGCTCAGTTGAACTATGTTAGGGATAATTGGATGAATCCGAGACATAGGTTTTATAATATGCAGCTTGTGAATTCGAGTTATGCTGCTGTTCTTCCTGAAACATCGCAGGCACTCTCCTTGCCGTTTGTCCAGCCACCGGCGGATGCATCGAGGAATGAGAATGGGGATGGGATTGAAGAGTTAGCTGTTAAGAAGGAAGGAGGCAAGTCGAAGAAAAGGAAATCGAAGGGTGCTCTTACCGTTCCGAAAGCTAAGAAACCCAAGAAGGCAAAGGAGAATGGCAATAATTCAGCTCAAGGTGTGAAACCACCGAAGAAGACTGTGGCGCTTGAAATAAACGGAATTGAAATGGACATTTCTGGTCTACCTGTTCCTGTTTGTTCATGCACTGGAGTCCTCAGCAGAGTTATCGGTGGGGCTGTGGAGGTTGGCAATCAGCTTGCTGTACCACAAATGTGTCAATCCATCCTTTGCCGATGAGCGTCAAAAGGCGCGGCGCAAGGATAGCTGGGCGGAAAATGAGCCAAGGAGCTTTCAAAAAGGTTTTAGAAAAGCTTGCAGCTGAAGGTTATAATTTTGCTAACCCTATTGATCTGAAGACTCATTGGGCTAGACATGGCACCAACAAGTTTGTCACTATCAGATAGAGGCTGCTGCTGCTGCTGGGTTCGAGAGTCGGTCTGTTTTGCCTGTGTATACACCTGTGTGATTTTTCATACAGATGTTGAATTCTGGTCATGGTCATCCATGAATTTTCTGTTGTGGTGCGTCTATCTAAGTTTTGGATACTCTAGTTCTTTTTCCATCTTCGGATTATTTTACAATGATGACAGTCCATGTTTTATGGAGTTAAACATTTATGTAGATGATTTATGACTAGATAGACTATTATCGGATAATACTCATTCACATTTAATTTAAAATCATCGAAATTTTGAACTGACCTGAACGTTGTTTCAAATGTGTTTCACCCTCTATTAATGGTGAATCAATTACATCATTCATTTGGCTTAATGGTTCATCAATTATGTGCTAGCTTTGTTTATCTTATTTAACCGTTTTTCTATAATTGTGTATGGTTGATGCAATTTATAAGTGAGTTCATTAGTTGTTTTATTAATGTTTTAGTTTGGAGTTTTAGCAGAACATGAGTTAACCTTACAGTTCCTTTGTGAGGAGACTCTATCTTTGCAGGGATGGGATCCAGAAATAAGTCATAAGGAAGGACTCATAGGATTGAGTGGGGAGACCTTAGTACCAACCCATTGTGCTATTGTTAATCAATTCAGTGCCCTGGTTCCTGGAGTTATCTCTAGTCACTTATTTGTTTTGTGTTTGTTCATGATTCAATACTTTATTACTGTCTTTGTAATGTGATATCCATTTCTAGGCCATGTTTCAGTTTAGAACATAGTGGCAATAACCTCTTAACAATTGAAAGGGGGATTCTCTCTTAATTGTACTTGGTTTGATTAGCACCATAAATTGAAGATTATGGAGACATGTTTAGATCCTATCACTACATTGCCATTTGCTTATCTGTTGTAATGTTTTCAGTTTGAACTTGTGACACAAAGGGTTGGCAACATTTGACTTTGGTAGTTTCTTTTTAATAAGGTGCTTTTCACAACAAAAGGAAGTATTGAGGACCAAGAGGAAAAAAACCAGTTTAGGTGTCTAACACATGAAAGCTCTGACTGGCAAGAAAAGAGCTTTCAATCAACAGCACAAACTCACCATTCACAGAGTAAAAGAATGGAAAAAAAAAAACTGTTTTGTTTTAATAAAAGATTAAAGCATTATTACTCCATGGATTGCATTTTGCAAAACTCACAATTTTTCTATCCAAATAGTTAATTTTGAAAACTTTTTCAATAATTTCTGTTATATTTCTTTTATGTTTATCTTTATCTTTGAGTATTTGACTTCTCTTTGATCAAATTTGCAAACATGACATAGAAAAGAAATTTTTATTTATGGAAATTATTTTTAGTTTCATGTAGGAAAAAAAAAAAAAGAAGAAAAAAGATAAATGCATAAAAGAGAATAATGTTATATATGCTTTGGAAGTGTATCGGAAATTGTTAAAAGACTAAGAAAATATGTCATGGGTGAATGTCACTAATTGTGATACCGCATTGATGGATTTGGTTACAAAAGAGTTTTCTACATTATATATTTGACTGTTTTAAGTGACATAATGAATTTGGTTACAAAAGAGTTTTCTACATTATATATTTGACTGTCTTAAGTGACATAATAAAGATGTGAGAGATAGACTTAAACATGCGGTAAGAACTAAACATATCATACGTGAAGACATGATAATGGCCAAACCTAGTCAGATTTTGGAAAACATAATGGAATTATAATAAATTCTTCTACAAATAAGTTACAATATGTGTAAAATATGTCATACAATTTAGAAGGGTTTGTGCAAAATATTAAGATTCCTTGAAATATGTAGAAAACACTATATTATACTAAGTGAGAGAAAAAATTATTTGTGCATGGACCGATCATGTTAAACACTTTAGAAATACTATAACTAATAGAGTTGAATCATCTCATGCTATATTGAAGAGATAATTGAGAAATAGTAAAGGAGATACAAACATCAACATAGCGAGATACAAACATCATTTGATTGCACAATCACATTATTAGAACACCAAGTCTGTTGGAATAATATAGCAAGTGTGAGTAAGTGGAAAATAGTCCCACATTGGATAGGAATATGGAGACTTAAGCAT